GGGGCACCGTCTGGGGGGCTAGTTCTGATCCTGCTACTGACTTCTGGGACCTGAGCGAGCCTGAGGGGCCTGGCTGATGGCTCGTAGAGAGCTGGGAGCGGGTGGTGAGTCTGTGGGGCCAGACCACTCCCTTCCCGGGTCTCCTCCAGTGGCCTGCAGGTGGAGCATGCGCACCACAAACGGAGCCGAGCTGCCCGAGCGGAACAGCGGTGCGGAGCGCGCGTGCACGGAGTGCGTGCGCGCGCGAGCTGGGGGCACACCCAGCCCACGGGCAGGGCAGACTGGCCAGGAAGGGCGCAAGTGTGCCCTCTCATGAACTGCAGGAGTCGGGTGGCCGGGCGGGTCCTCAGAGATGGCTCCCCTTTGGGTCTGAGCCCAGGGACGCCCCCCCACCCCCCAGGAAAGCCTCAGAAGCTGCTGGGACGAGCCCGTGGGTGATGGAGGGGGAGAGGCCCACTCTTTGCCCTCCGGGGGCAGCTGCCTTTGCTCTCCAGGTGCCTGCGCGAGTCAGGTGGTGCTCACCGCATGGCTCCTCCGGCCCCACGCCCCGCGTGGCGTCCTGCACCGCCATGGCCCAAGCTCGCCCTTGGAGCGTCTGCTTCATAAACACGCCTCCCTCCAGGCCCAGGCTCCCGGTGCTCCCGCACCACTGCGTCTCCCACGTCGACTCGGCCTTCACCCCTTCTCCTCTGACAGGCCTTCTGGATGTCCCCGCGAGCCAAGGAGAAGGACGAGCCTGGCTCCGACTCCAGGCAGACCCCCCCAGGGCATCCGGCCTGCGGAAAAGCGGTGGAGGCGCCAGCCCCTGAGAACAGGCCTGCTGGGAGGATGCCCCTCGGCCCGGTGCCGGGGATCAGGCCTGGGTGCCGCAAATGCGGCCCCCGCTGCGCCCTACTTAGGGACGCAGGGACGAGCCCCTGCATTTCCCCAGACACGTGGGGCCCTGAAGGTGGCTTCAGCTCCCTGAGACCATTCTGTAATTAGGAGGAGCCCCAACTTGGGTCCTTGGGAACTTATCCCAGGCTCCAGTCCCACATCTGCCCCTCCTTTCTGGGGCAAGCGACTTCCCTATACCCCAGTGGATCCATCCGTACCACGTGGGTAGTAATGCCTGGCTGCAGTCTGATGGGACGTGTACATTAGTACATTCAGCAGTACTCTGTCCTAGGAAGCCCTCAGCAAATGCGGGCTCACGTTTTGCTGGCTTAATGCTGGTTCCCACCGAGGAGGCCAGCCCACCCAGAGAAAGCCTGAGGCTGCAGTAATGAAAAGCCAGGGTTTAGAGTAAGGGGGGGGGGGGGGGTTGGCACTGCCCTCACGGGGGTTGACCATGGCCTGCCCGGATGAACGGCCTTGGACATCACACCCCAACCTCCCCACTCTCCCCTCCACATCCCAGGGCTTCAAAACATGTTCCTACTTCGGGAGTTGCTCCTATCGCTGTATTTCCTCGGGGGAGGGGGGGCACTGAGCTGGGGTGTCAGAACAACTGGAAAGGTCCATGGAGACATCGTGCTGGAGCAGGGGTGCTCAGTCCACAGGAGGAATGGAGAGCTGAGCCACACCCTTGGAGCTGCCCCTGGGGCACACTGGGATCCTGTGTTTTCTGGGCAGGACCACACGGGTCCTGGGCAGAGTCACAGGAAATGCAGACCAGATCAGGGCCACTTTCTAGAAGGCCTACTTTAGACACATACATTATTAGGTCTGCAGTCTAGAGTCTAAGGGATACATAAACTCCTAAGGAACTCGAACCAACCTGAAGTGCCCATACAGGATGGCAGAGGGTCTGGGCTCCCCAGGGCAAGGAGAAGGCAGGAGGAGACCCTCATAGGAGGATGGGGATGCAGGGAAAAAGGGGCAGGCCCTGGCCTGTAGTGCGAATTACCGGGGAGGGACAGGAGACCTTACAAACTGCTCCGGAGGAGCCTGCTCCGAGATAGAGGATTCTTACTGGGAAGGTAGCTGGGACCAGTTTTGAGTTCAATTCTGGGTTCTTTCCTCCTTGGATGAGCTGAGCTTTCCTGGCATATGGATGCCACCTTTAGGGCTACTTCCCCTCGCTCTCAGGTAGCAGTGGACTCCCTAGAGAACGGCCACACTGACTTCCGTGAGCTCCTGCTGGGGCAGGGTTGACGAGGACCCCCAGACCCACATCTTCCACATTTAGGCAGAAGCACTTGTGATAGTTTTTTTTGTTTTTTGTTTTTTTTAAGGTTTATTTATTTGTTTGAGGGAGAGAGAGAGAGAGCACATGGGGGGAGGGGAGTGGCAGGGGAGAAGGAGAGAGAAACTTAAGCAGACTTGGTGCTGAGCACGGAGCCAGATGCGGGCTCGATCTCACAACCCTGAGATCACAACCTGAGCCGAAACCAAGACTCAGATGCTTAACCGACTGTGCCACCCAGGTGCCCCTGATAGTTTTATGTGCCATTTTATGTGCCAGGTACCACAGGGGCCCAGATACCTGGTTAAACATTATTCTGGGTGTGTCTATGTGGGTATTTCTGGATGAAATTAACATTCCAGTTAGTCAACTGGGTAAAGCAGGTAGAAGGCCCTTCCCAATGTGGGTGGGCCTCAGCCAATTCGTTGAAGGGCTGAACAGAGCAAGACACAGTTAAGGGAAATTTTGCTCTGTCTGAGGGTCTTGAACTGGAATGTTGATCTCTTGCCTTCAGGCCCTTTCTTGAATTATGCCATCAGCTCTTCTGGGTGGAGCTCCAGCTTACAGATCTTGGGACTGTTCAGCCTCCAGAGGCATATGAGCCAATTCCTTATAATAAATGTGTGTGTGCATGTGCGCGCGCGCGTGTGCGTGTGCGTGTGTGCACGCGCGCGTGGATCTCCTGTTGGGTCCACTTCTCTGGAGACTCCTGTTCCAGCGGTCCCTCCCATCTGTGACCCCCCACTCCACTCCAAGCACTGAAGCCCTCCCCAACAAGCAGTATTGATTTAACCTTCTTTGTAAAATTCAAGTCCCTCACTGGGAGGGGAGACTCCCCTGGGCCAGGCAGAGATGTCAAGGCACGATCTTGCCGTTTCGTAGCAATGGAGGGTGCTGCCCACCGAGGCCCATGGCTGTGGGTATGCAGGGAGCTGCGCCATGAACTAGCCTCTGCTAGTACCACTGGCTCATTAGGCACTTGCAGACGGCTCAGTAGTGTTCCTATTCAGAGGCATGTATCTTACAAGATTACTAACAAAATAGCCACGGTCCCTGACAGCCTGTGAGGCAGGCTCTGAGCTGCATGCTCTGCCCATTTACCTCCATCCCCCGCCTCTCCATTTCACCCCTTCTGCCAGCGAGGTCCCACAGCCCAAGGCAGGCAGGTGAGACAGACACTGCTGGTGCCCATCTTGGAAACAGAACTCCAATCCTGTTCAGCCCTTCCCACTGCCGTGCCCTCTGGGGAAGGGGAGCCCTCCTCAGCCAATGCCAGTCACGGTCACCGCACACCCCCACCGAGGTACTGGCCTGGGGTTCAGCCAATGAGAGGGGAAGCTGATGAGGAGGTGGGCGGCGGGAGGGAGAATTCTGGAAAGTTCCCCTCCCTCTCCAGGAAGAAGAGCAGACAGCGTTGCTTCTCTTCTTGCCTGTGGAACGCTGTGTCAGCTGGACCGTGGGAACCCCAAGGAGAAAGGTATGAGGACAAACGCTAAATGCGAGACTGGGGGGCGGGGTGGTGGGGAAGGCGCGGGGAACCTTGCGGCCCCAGTGATGCTCTCTCCAGCTGCTGCATTAGCCAAGCCGACAGCACGCTGCCTTTGGACTTCTCGACGTGTGAGACAAACATCCTATGGTAGAAGCAACCTCTGTTCAGTTCTCTGAGGCTGGGGCCAGAGGTGTCCCTCCGGCCACAGCCTGAGAAACCAGGTCTCCCTCCCGGCCCGTGCTGATGGCCCTGGTCCCCGCTCTGCCCCTGCAGGGCATGTGCTGTCCTGCTCCCTTGCTGATCAAATGGGGGCAGGGTGGGACCGGCGGGGAGGGAGGCAGGCAGAAGCCTGAGAGTCAAACCTGCCAGGGACAGTCACCTTTTATTTCCATTAAGTATTTCTTGGCACGAATGGGGGAGATATTGGAGAACAGGCTGCACAAGATTTATAGACACAGGGACATGAGGGGGGCCGAGTTTACCGACAGCAACTGGCCCCGCTGAGTCTACCCTGACCCGAGGGTCCTGAGCAACCCGGGGGCTCTCACGGGCCAACACAAAACTCAGAGAATTCCGTTTATTTGATCATTTTTAATACAGGAAATGCCAGACCAATCAACAAGGAGGACAGACCTTACACAGACGCCTGCCTTCACTACGTGGACGGGACGGTCCCCACGGCACTGGGCACGCATGCATTTCCTTGGAAACGGGTAGATCGAGAGAGCGCATAAATACCACAAAACAACCGGGCTCGGGGGCAGATCACAGGCCACGGGGGAAACCACGCTTCACAGGCAACGGAGGCATGAAATACGGGACCTACACGGCACATTTCACTTCACCAGAGGCATAATTTATACGTGAAAGGGAAGGAGGCCACGGTATCTATACGTGCAAGCAGCTTTGGTCAGAGGAAACGCACGAGCGAGGTGGAGCCATGCACGGGGAGGGCTTGCCCGTCTACTCTCCCTCCGGTCTTGTCCCCACCGTGCCCATGGTCACCTGCCATCACAACACACAACAGCGGGCCTTGTCTCCATCTTAGAAGCCCCATCCATGTCCTCAGCGGTGTTCTCGGGGCTCCCTGGGGCGGCTGGACGCCCCAGGAGCCAGAACTGTGAGGCCTGGGGGGAAACCCCCCCCCGGGGGGGGGGGGGGGGGGCAGGAGGAGGCCAGGTGGAGGAGGGAGGCACAGCCACTGGGCCGGGCAGGTGCCGCGTGTCGCCTGGGCCCCGGCCGAGAGCGGGAATGGTGGAGGAGGAGGCACCCACCCGTGCAAGCAAAGCTTTAGACGGCGAGACGAGCCCGTGTTTCTCTGCCGCTGTCTGGACGCCCGGCCCCTCAGAACTGACTGGCACTGCTGGGGTCACACTGCAACAAGCGGACGATGGAGGGGTCGCTCTTGGCACCTTTAATGAATTCTTCCAGCGACAGCTTGCCTGTGGCACGGGACAGAGGAGAGGCGGGGGTCAGCCAGTGCTCCGCGGTCTTCGCGCATCCAGAGGTCCCGGACACCGCTCCCTATCGGGGGACGCCCCCTTTACTCTAAGTCTCGCACCTTCCCGAAGCTGGACCGAAGTGAGGCTCCACTCACTCTGCATACATTTCTGGAAAAATCCCTTTTCGCTTTCACGGCTTACAGCAAAGCATCGGGCAACTTAAAGGACACACCCCCAGTACGACAGGGGCTGTGGCTTGTGGGACAATGTAAATGCTTTTAGAAGCCGCCCCAGGCTTTAGGTAATAAATTACTGCTAGGGCCCAAGAGTAGGAAAGCGGGTTTGAAAACTGAAGTGAGTTCCGGAGGAGCTGATGTTGGGGACACCCACGGGCCCTCCTCGGCAGTCCCTCTCCCAGGACCCACGTGCCACCCCCCCCCCCCCCCGCCAACGGGGAAGGACCTAGGTTTGAAGCTGGCTCTGTTCCTGCGGCTCATGCCTTGGGGGAGTCTGCAGCTGTGAAGCCGTGGTGACAATGACCCCGCAGGATGGCAGTAAAGGGGCTAAGGAGCCTACGCCACGCCGCCACGGGCAAGCTACCCATCTTTCCACGGCTCAGGATCTTCAGCCGCGGCCCGGCCTGGAGGATGCATCCAGCGGGCTGCTACCAGGGAGCCAGGAGAGGGATCCGGAGGCCCCCAGGCAGAGACCTCCCGCCAGCCCACTGCCAGGGAGGGACACCCACTCCTCCCGGCCCCCAGCAGGGGGCAGGCAGGCTGGCCCCAGCGGAGACTAAACAACGCCGGGGCTCAAGGATGGGCTGGGAAACAACCCCTTCAAAGGAGGAGAAATTCTCCGGGACCCTCTGCTCACACAGAGGGGCTACTGGGCTTTGCTTCTCCCCTATGGGTGGTGACAACTTTTACCTGCCACTCCCCCAACTCTGACCACTCAGATTGAGAAGCTTCTGAAAGCATAGCCCCCTCCTCCTGGCAGAGAGCGGGGCAGGTGAGGGGCCGATGGGGGGCAAGAGGGGCCCTGGGGGTTCCTGAGCACGGTCTGGGTCTGTCTGGCAGCAGTCAGCGTGTTCCTGGCGCTCGGCCAGTCTCCGATCACATGTACAGCCAGGAGGGGTGTGAACAGGAGAGGTCTGTGCTGGCGGAAACCAGCCAGGTCCCCCCTGACCCCCGGATGGAGGGGGCAGGGAAGTTGAGACAAAGTGCAGGGCCCTGCCCACTCCTGAGCAGCCCCCTCAAGACGGGGTGCCCCTGAGCACCCCTGCCTTCACCCTCATCTCCGCAACATCGACCCTCCCCCTTCCCTCCCCGAGGCCCGGGGACAGACGGACACTGGGGCTCAAGAGGTGCCCTGCCCCACTGGGCACAGACTCAGGATCCCGACAAGCTGGGAAGACACGGCCCCGCTGGCCCTCCAAAGGGATGGGGTCGGGCAGGCTCAGGCAGGGGAGAGGGGTCGAGAGCACAGTGCCCAGGGCTCTGCGCTCACAGCTTTCTGGGCATGGTCTCATTGAATCCTCACAACCACATGAGCCTGAATTTGTGACCTCCGTTTCACAGAGGAGGAAACCAAGGCTGAGACTTGAGCCAAGACTCGGTGCAGGTCTGTCGGAACCTGAAGCCTGCGCCTTGCCACCCTGGAGGGTGAAAGACAGGTTTTAAATCAGCCCAAGGGCAATGCCAGGCACAAGTCTGTCTCGTTTTACACGCGACTGTGTTTGGGAAACTGTTCCCGTGCTGTCTGGTGTGTCCGATGTATCTTCAGCCACCTGTGGTCACACAGTAAACCCCATCCCTGGGCTGGCTCGGTCCTTAAACTCATTTGCCAAAAGCACTTCAGAGTTTACAGAGCTTTTCCTCATGCATTAGCTTATTTTTCATCTCCAGCACAACCCAGGGGGTATTTCCTTTTCTATTCTAAATGTCCCATTTCTTTATTGTTCAAAAGCACATCAGACCTGACTCTGGGACTGTACTTCACAAAGCCGGCAGGAGGCCTGGACCCACCAGGTCGTGGCTGCTCGCTCTTACGTGGATCCTGCAGAGCCTCA